AGGCCTACCCAACTACCAGACATGAATGATCCTGAATTCACCAGTAAATTGGACCACACTACCCGTTTTCAAGGTGTGTAGGCCTACCCAACTACCAGACATGAATGATCCTGAATTCACCAGTAAATTGGACCACACTACCCGTTTTCAAGGTGTGTATCAGTATGCGCTTCAAAGTATCAGACATGACACCACTCTTGCCTAGTATGCGAAGTGATAGCGATGATTCTGAGCAGGGCTGGAAAGTAGTGCATCTCATCTCAAAATTTGTTCCAGGGTATAATATTGTGAAATGCGACCGAGTCTGGTAGTTGGGTAGGGCAGTCTCTCTCTCTCTCTCTCACACACACTCAATCAGTAGCAATAAATGCAAATAAATATGCCCCCCTCTCTCTCTCTCTCTGATGAATACAAAGGATTTCTGTATGTTTAGCACCTTATTGATAGATCATATCATAATCTGTTAATGACACACAAAACATTCACCTCCTCTTCTAGTTCTTTGTACTTGAAAGCCAATTTGTAGGCTGCAAACACCAATGGAGGCAGGGTGTACTTAATCCTCATGTTCCCACCATTTCCAAAGTGTTTCCTGGCCGCATTCAAGATCTGAAATCAAACCAAATTACTTTAATATGGGACATATTTGAAAAACATACTGTAGCTGTGGTCTGCTGTTTTTTTTTCACACTGAACCAATCAACCATTTAATGTCACAGACCTTAGCTAATAAAAAGATTAGAGACAAAACAGCATTTCCAAAACATACCTTTTTTCACACCAGAAAAATTCTTATTTGCATATAATTATGCATAATGTACGTGTTATAACTGAAAAATATACATCTAATCTATGCATTGCACTGAATGAGATTTATTTTGCAATTATAAAGCCTCTCCTCACTAGGTTTGTCAAAATTTATACCATAGAACTAACACTCGCCAAATGCTAAAACTAAAATTGACTAAACACAAAATGGTGGATTTAACTTGTTTTAGTCAAATTTCAACCATATGAAGAAAAAAGTGAGGAAAAAGCAGTGATTTGGCTATGAGAAAAAAATTGCCAGAGCTACCCCAGCCATTATATCAATAGATAATACATATAAAACATTATATCAATAGATAATACATATTAAACATTATATCAATAGATAATACATATAAAACAAACACATAAGACTTTTACAAATTTAAATATTTTCCTTTGGTTACTGTCATACCAAATATTGTTGGTCAGCATCTTCCGCCTGCATGAGGTTAATTAACCTTCCCATCAGGCCTTGTTCCTCTGCAAAATCTTCTGGGTCAATATCATCTTGGGGCTGTCCTTCTTGGTCACAAACCAGTGGCGCCACCAAGTTCAATATTGCATCAACCTGATTGTGAACAATGTATATTTTCCTTACCTGTTTTATTTTTCACAGCTTGATCAGACAAGATACAGATATGTTTAAATGAAAATTAAATGCTACAAAAATTTAACAACTTTCGTAATTAAAAAGTGTTTTACACAATTTTTAATAAGAAGAACATAGTAAAAAAGAGTGAGTACAGAATATTAAATTTGGTGACTAAATACTAGTAGTGCAGCCTTTTTGATTTGCCCAATATGCCTTATCTATTACTCATACATAATGTGAGATGTTATATGACTTTGACACTTGAGAAACAAATATATATTACCAGAAACTACAAAAAATTTCAATTTAAAAATACTAAAAAATAAATAATACTTAAAAATGCATGAAATATCTCAAAATATTTCAAATGAAACAAGAAATATTCCAAAATATCAAAAGACAAACCTGTTCCTGTGATGGTATCTTTATATCATTATCTAATGCATTCACTATAATGTACGAGCTCATGCTCTTCTTGGCGGCAAAGTCAAAGTACTCAAAGAGTGGACCGAAGTGCTCCAGCTGCAGAACGGTCAGTATGTTATTATAGCTGTCCACTGGGATCTTCATAAGGCGCATCAACTCCTTGGAAACTGCACTGGAATTCTCTATGCTGTCAAATACAAGAGAGATAACATGTTATATCATATAACTACCTGACTACTATCACACACACACACACACACACACACCTGAATAGAATATTGTCATATCACTAAATACACACAAACACTGCTTCCCCCTTCACTGATCCCCCCTTCAATTACTGAAAAAAAAATTCACACCAATGGTTTGAATTTTGACTAGTTGAATCTTAATTCTAAACCGTACCAAATGGCAATGTTCCCCCTCTAAAATACCAAAATTTTTCAGGCCCTAAGGCAGGCCTGGAACCCCAAACCAACCACCCCTGCAAACTACTCACTGGTCCAGGTTGAGCCTGTTAAAGATCTCCTCAGTTGTCTCCAGGACCTTGTCCACGTAATCCACCCTGTCTGGGTAACACTTCAGGGCCAGGTTGATCAGCGCCACCTGCAGGGAAACGATGTCTTCAGGAGGCATATCAGGACGATTCTGAAATATTGAGAAATCTATTGAAAATTTTGTCTATAGAACATAAACAGCAACAGCAATGGGTTTTTCAAAGGATTGGGGTGTAATTTTCACAGGGAACAGGGATACGTAGAGCCAGCTAGCTTGGTCTTGTTTATATAGATTATAAAATAACAGCTACATATAAGATATTCTCTGAAGGACAGTCAGCATAATTCATAATTATCGAAGGCATTGGAAATTGTCATAGTTGCTGTCACTGTTTTCTTTACCTGAATGACTTGAGAAATCTGCTGTGAAAATATATCAAAAAGTTGGATGTCTTGTGGTATACCAACACCTTCCTCTTTGTTGGCAAATTGGGCAAGTCTGTTGAAACAAAGAAAAACACACATGACTTCAAATTTTGACAGGAAATATAACTGTTCTTGCAAAGACTTTTACACTTCCAGGTTCAGGTAGAGATGCTTCATAAGACGATTATTTTGAATGATACTAAACTTTAAGTCGTATCTCTGTTGGATTTTGCAGTTGACCTCTCTCCTTACTGGTGCAAATCACTGGAAGTTGCTGGGAAAGATTATAGTAGGTGTCTAAATTTTCCAGTTAGTATCTTTTCCATTAACCTCTAACATTAAAGAGAAAACAAGTTCAAAACGAGCTAGTACTGAGTAGATTTGAAAATTTGAAAGCTACACTTTATAATTACAACAAAATATCAATTCAATGCTTCAAGCTTAACAAGATTAAAGGGACAAAAAATAGGATTAAAAACGCCTTTTTAGTGCATGGATTGCTTCTTTTTTAACTTATCTGAGAACAATTGCTATGGGTAAAGCATAAAATGGCAGGTAAATGGCCTTAATCAATATCGAAAAAAAGAATCATATTCACCGTCCACTTTCGAACCCCGGGCGTCAGCCATCTTGACACAGTTTGAAATAACGCGGCTTCTCGACTCAGATACGAGATGTAAACAATGCAGACAGCATGCCGTTTCGAAGG